TCGAAATTCAGATAGACAAAGTCATTGACAGTTTTGTGATAATTATTCGGCGATAGGTATATTGGTTTCCGGAATTGTTCAAACGACAATGGAGAGAAAGTGCAAACTATTCGGATCCTCCCATAGGAAACCCTTTAACATCCCTATTTCCCAAGAGCCGCAGATTCGTGTGGAACTTGGGCAATCGCGGAATGCAAATCAGTGAGGTATTCGATGAGCAAAATCATTCGGGACGACGTGGACAGTGCAGTTGTAGGTTTATACATTCACTACATGAAGAGATGACGCCCTTATATTCTCTCTCTCATCTTCTAGTTGCCAATTGTTCGGTACATTCTCAATTGGTTTCGATACCCGACCAAATGTTCTATCCGATCAATTTATTATCCAAATATTTGCGAATTCATCAATAATTCAGCTGTGGTATTGCTTATAATGATTACAAAGCGTTCCGGACAACGAGACTACTTTCGTGATGGTAGAATTTGAGATTCTTGGCAAAGTATATACCGTCATACGGATGCAGTGAGACACCAGGTGAAATTAGTCAAGCATACGGGGTTAAAGTTTGCAACTAGAGGTGGCACGAGACATTAAGATCGGCCGAGGAATTAGCATATTCGAAAGTTTCGCAATTTAACGGAGTAGTAGAGAGATAGATTCAGAGTTTACCTCTATTAAAATAAACAGGGGAGATCTCTATGAGAGACTCTACTAAGACTATGGCAATTTATTGAGCTACTCTACGTGACACTTTACGGTTTCTCGTGATATTTTATTAGCGTGATAGCAGTTTTTTTCAGCTCGTAAACAACATTATGCATATCACGAACATGTGTAAATGTCAAAAGTTTTGTTGTTAGTTTTATTTTTATGTTTTTCAAGTACTCACTCTTCATCACTGATAGTTTTCGCCAATCCACTCTCTTGCTCTCTCAACTGCATTGAAGATGATTAGCTGCCCAATCGATTAAACGTCTGCCTGGACACACTCAAAGCAGGAACTCGAAAGCGAAGTAGAATTGAAAACTAGAATGTAACTTTACCCTAGAACCTAACTTTTTTTTTTTATTTGCTTCTTTCCAATTCTTTCTTCTCCTCTTTCTCCATTCGTCTTTTTTGCTTCCCTTCGTTTCTTATTCTTGTTCATTCAGCTGATCGTTTTTACAAACAAACTTTTCGAATTATTTCTTCGCGTCTCAATGCTATAGCTTACCTTTTGTTTCTCCTGTCAATCAAGAAAAGTTAGTGATTATATTCGCGTCAACGAGCCGCGAAATTTATATCCTCAGTGTCGATACCACCAGGTAGTTTTATGGATAAAAAATATGTTCTTCAACTAGTTAGTTTTTTATTTTTTAAAACTTTAAATAGAACAAATTACTCGGAAATTCATTATAAAGGTTTTTTTTGTTGTGTCGGGAGAATAAAAATAAGAAATACTTTTTTTCATTAAATTCCGTTACTGTCTCCGAAGTTTCTAAACTTGAGAATGTTGCATTTTTAATGATGTAGAACTGATAGGATTGACAAAAATTTTCATGAAGAAACATTCTCATGATTCTTAACAACTAAAGTGTTTTGGATCAAATATTCTCTCGTTTTAATTTATTGATTACATGGTTAGTGAAGTTTTAAATTAAAAATGTCATAACAAAATACTGCCAATATTTTTATAGAATAACGAGATGTATATATACATAGGTCCTCGAATTAATATATCCTTTTTAACTTCATTTCAATTAAAATATTCATTTTTAGAGTGGAAATCAAAACATTGCACAAAATTTGTTCATTTTTTTTTTTTGAATTTTTAAAACAGATTATACCGCAAAATTAAATTGTACAAATATATCGAATTTTCACTGGTTTAAAAAATTACAATTCATTTACATTAAAAAATATTTTGTTTTTTATCGTACGATTTTTTTAAAACATCGAAATCATTTTTAAAAAAAAACAGCTTGTAAAGTAATAAAGATGCATTCATAATTTAAAATAATAAAAGCCAGAAATGTAGTGATTATTGAAATCACTTGAAATTCGTTTAGAGTTTGAAAGCTCGTCATCTGGAATATTTTACGATTATAAAGAGTAGATAATACGTTTGAATAGTCTTACTAGAAGTTGGAAGCAAGTTCGATAAAGGCAGATCTCCGGATCATTGGATCATATGACTGAGTGAGTCAGAGCATAGTGAAAAAGAAACCCGACACGAATGAGTCGTCACCACAGAAAACTATTCTGCGGTGAATAGTTGGCAAAGCTCACATTTTATACTGCCGTCGTCAGTATACCTTTCGTACTATTTTTCATTCGCAGTCGTGAACTTTAAAGTTTCACACGTACCACACTTTGCCATGTGTACTCGCAAACTCTCGCACAAAATCAGAAACAAGTTTAGAAAACCGTAAACACGTTTGTGTTACTTGGTATTATTGAAAATGACTGTGGGTAAAATTTTTTAACATTTTTTTTTTCTTTGTTTTTTCTCTTTAAAAAGTATTTTTTTGAAATAAAATTATTCGGAGGAATGAAATAAAAGATGCAACTTATGTCGTGGGACAGAAAGAGGCGGATATTTATGATGAATGAAGATATACACTAAGAAATATTATTCCACTTGGACAAAATGTACCATTTGCTGAAGGAGATTGTATAAAGATAGTTTTATCATCAAAAAAAAATTTACAAAACATTATTAGTAATAAATAAATATAAATATATTTTTGCATTTATTTTATTCAAGAATATGAAAATAGTTCTTTCGATCTTGAATCAGTGATATAGACTTTTTTAACTAAAGTAATGACGTGGTTAAGGCGAAAGTACGAATGACAACCAAACAAAGGGAATAAATATAGTCACTATATAGAATGTAAAGTACAATCGATTAATCTTTGTTTAATCTGGCTGTGATAAACAAGGCAACATCACGATCATACGATAGAGAATGAAATTTTCAAGTGAGAATGAAAAACAAATGTACAGAAAAAAACTTCACACTTAAATCAATCACTGCTGAACGTTCATCTCTTGATTTTTTACTTGAAAGTATCAGGGATGGAAGAGAGAGAGAAGATCATAGGGGTGAGTAAATATAGAAGGAGAAAGGAAAAAAATCTGTCATTTATTTGAAAAGTACTCGGCTACCAAAAACATCGAGGTAGCGAGGGATGTAACGACATGTCGTTTATATCAAGGCAAAAGCAAACGAGTAAGAAAGACAAACTGTTGAGAGAAAAATAAAAAAGACAAAATGGAGTTAGAGAAAGGATAGAAAAAAATAAAATAAATAACAGTTGATCGATGGATAGCAAAGAGAACTGAGTGAAATGGTATCGTATAAAAATCTTTTAAGTGCTCCCTTATGTTTATGTCCAATTCTTGAAACGCACCGTCACCCTCCTTTTCTCTTTCCCACCCAACTTCTCGGCAAAGGAAAACCACATCTCAAAGAAGCTTTGGGACGTATTTGTGCAAGTTATTGAAAATTCCTCTCGTATACCATTCCCACGTAGTCTTCCTATTTCAACGTGCACTTTTTTTTCCTCCCAGTGTATTTCGGTATTTTTCATTTTCGATAAACCTCGAGGGAAGTGAGTGAGGAGTGGTAGATTTTTTTCCATATATTTACAACTTGATATCTGCATTATTTCACCGACATGATCGTCATCGGTTTGATGGTCAGGTATGTAATCACAGAAAAGCTCAAAGGATGTAAAAATAAAGAATTTTTTAATTTTATATATCCATAGAGAATTTTTCAACGTCAAATGCACTCTCTACTGATTATATTTACTTTTTTACTTTCCAATAATGAAGAGGGAATTCGTGTGTCGAGGGAGAGAGTATTGTAAAGGGAAAAGAGAATAATCGTTACGGGTAGTGAAATACGTGTGCGGATCTGAGAGCTCAATTAGCTGTCGATTAAAAGTACATTAGAGCGTTCAAGAAAGGAGCAGAGGTGAAAGAGGAAGGATGATTCTAGTGCAAAATACTCAATGTACCTTAAAATACGTGCTAAATGGAATATGTAAGATTGAAGGACAATTTACCAAACTATTTGTTCATAAAAAATAAAAATAATGCTTTTAATAATCAATGGAAAATGGTGTGTGCCGTCGTATATTATCTACTGCACTATTTTATGTCAGGCATTTCAATTTACGTAAGGGAATATTCGCAGTCGAGCAATTCCTGTGGATTACTACAGCTTCGTTCCCGCACCAAGACCACACAATGAGCGTTAGTACAGTGTTCGCTAGCAGCCTGTGCGTGACTAGACTCTTTATCGGATAAATACTCGCAGTTCGCACGCTTTACACATTTTTTTATTTTATCACAGGTAGAGCCGTGTAAACTTTGGTGTGATTCAAAAATAATGAAACGACTTGTGAGAGGAACTCGAGGGGGAAACCATTCAAATGCTTTTTCTTGTGTCTCATTTCATCCTAATGGGGAAAATATTTCTTCTTTGAGTTGGGTCAATGATTATTACCGTCCTATCATTTATATCTGCCATACGAAATCACATAAAGACGAAATCATTCGTATGAAAAATTGAAAGTTTTGCATACTATCGATCTTGGAATTATTCAAATTATTTTATCGTTATTACCTATGATATTTATCTAAGACAATGATTCAGAGAACTGTGATTTTTTATTTCTTGATTAATAATAAGCTTTATAAAATGAATTATAAAAATAAAATTATTTCATAAATACTAAATAAAACCATCTGTGGAAATATTTATGATTAAAAAAAATTAAAAAGCTTTGTTGAAAAATTCTGTAGTTTTAATTTAAAAATGCACTTGATTGATAAATTTTACATCTATTTACAGAGAGAATATTCAAATCCTTCGGAATATTTATCAAAAGAAAACATTTTTGGTGTTGAATATTAATTTAAATAATAAGTAAACAATTTTTCATCATCCAAATGATAACAATAATAATAGTAATGGTTTGATTCTCTTTTACGACTCGTTAATATTTCACAAAATGAATGATATCAATTATTATTTGGAAATATTGATTACACCAACCAGTCCTTCAAAAACAAACTCCGAAATATCAAATCCTCTTGTAAAGTTCATCGTAGTAATTAGTCTGAAAAAAACATTAACAAACATTTTAAGATAAGTTCAAAATGTGTTAAATAATAGTAAATGCATTGAAATAATAATAAAATGAATCTCATTAGCGAATAAAATCTTTAATTAATTTGTTAAGATTTTCAAAGTTAATTTCCTATGACATCAGTTAATAAATTAAACTTTAACTAGTACAGTTTTCGTAGCATGCAAACAGAGAAGTTCAAAGACTCTACATAAATTGAAGTAAATGTCATTAAGTATAACTCTTTTTTTATGTTTAATCATTATTATTAATTAAATCAACTATAATTTATAATAAGTAAATTCTACATGTTCATACACAAACTCTATATCATTAGCATTTATACAACTGCATATATAATTTTAATTTAGTTTCTTGTTCAATGAAATCTAATTTCTCATGAATTTTGATTTCACATAATCAAGTCATTTTGATATGTGATAGATAAAAAAGTTGATATAGTTATTATTATATTATACAAAATGGAGATTGATTGAATTTAAACTGTATTATTTCTTAAATTGATTCAACTTGAAATTAAATTTAAAAAAAAAATACACAATCAATTTTTTTTTTAACGAAGAATAGAAATTATTATTCAACAAATTATTTTTCAATTTTTATTGTATTCTCTGCCGAATATAACACCCTAAATTAATGTTTTATTTATTAAAATAATTACCATCATGATTCGTAGAATCACATTCATTCAAAAACTCACAAATCATCTTAAACTCATAATACATTTTTTTTCATTTCTCGTCTTAGATTCACCCTTATTGATGTAAATATGTTTTACAATTCATATTTCCCATTCGTTGAGATGAGTATCAAGTTTATGCGTTTATCATATCTCTCAAATGACACCTGACGATAAAAACACACAGCATGGAATAAAATCATGACAGAATCTGTCATGTTTCTAAGAAACACACGACATATTGTCTTCTTCAGTATATACGAGGGTTTTACAAACGACTACGGAAGAAATTGGTCGCATGGTTGGTTTTAAAGTAGAAGAAATTTTTCACATATATACATATATTCCAAAATCTAAGGGGTATACGATCTACTGTACAAGCAATCCAATTTTTCTCCCTTTTCGCGCCTTATGACAAGGGAGATGGAGAAAGAGTGAACCAAATATTGGGAAAGTCGAGTAGCATCCGGTTTATTTTGCTCAAGGCAAAGCGATACATATGAGGGGTTGAAAAGCACAACGTATACTATCTTTTTCTATGGCTCTTAAAGTTCCAATCCAATATCTCGACGAGCATTTGATTCGATTTAATTTGTGCTTGATCACGCATCGAACTTTATAGCATTGAAGACTTACTCGCTCTGATAGTCGGATATGTGATTTGATGATGGTGAAGACAGTCTCTCAGTCTATAGTCACCAAACTTGATTCACCTACCCGCAGTTCTGAAATGCGAGTAAAGCTTGTCTGCTTTGTGTCCAATACTTTGTGGTAAGTCTTTTGAGTTCTATCATGTGATCCCTCGTTGAAATAAATTTGCTTTATCCTGATTATTTTGCTTTTATTCTCTTTTTCGTCTATTATCTTAATAGGAATAAAATCAAAGGAGTTAAAGAGCTTTTGTTAACAGGAAAACTCTAACAGTTTCCTCGGCTTTAAATAAATGTTAGTAAGATTATTTTATCTAATGAAAATAGTCCTTGAAAGTTAGATAAAGTTTCTTTGATTAATTTTAATTCTTTTAATATTATTTTTAACAATTATTCGATTAAAAGGTATTGTTATTTGATATCGTCATTTTTTTCAAGACTCCAAGTAGCTAATTTAAGTCAAATTGGTTCCAAGTGGAATCTTATTTCAAATTTTTTCTTCCTCAATTAAAGTTAAAAAAATTCCTTCAAGAGTTATCGTTTTAAGTGAAAAATAATACTTGCTTTATTATTTCTCTTTGGCTAAGTGTGATGGATACTGAAGCATAATTAAATGAAACTTGTAAAACTTGAGCTAGATATAACTCTGTAAAAACGTCGGATTTTCCATAAATTTTACCTATAAATCTTTTGTTTCACTAGTGGATTATCAAAGTTTCATTGCCTCAGAGTAATGTTTCTCTTGCGAGCAATGGAGTTAACGTTGAGCTTAAAGCAATGTCTGTCGTCCATAATTCGTAAAGTGTAACATTGAGGCAACAAAAAAATGTAGGCAGTGAAAAGAAAAACAATGAAGCTAAAAGTTTTTGAAAAAGACGTTTAAGGCTAAGGGAAAATATTTGACATGAAAAATGTAATATTAGAAGGAGAAGAGAATGGGGTTACTAAAGCTCTTTTCTCTGTCTTGATTATTGCAAAGTCTACGTTGTTCTATTGCTATACCTGCAAGTCAAGACTACAGTACTGAATCCATTAATCTCTCACCAAGAGCTCCTTCGGTATAGGTCGCGTAAAGAGGAGAGATTGTACTGGGAAATAAATTAAATTGTATAATAATATGATAACCGAGTGACTCGATGTCTCTTTTACTTTTACTCTGTAATTAATTCTTTCTCAAGAATATATTTTATGTATTTCTGCGGTAATATTCTCATTAATCATGAAATAAGTTCTAAATCTTATCACGAAAGAAAAAAAAGAAAAATGAACAATAAAAAAATAATCAATTACCTCGTTCTCTTTATTTTATATTTAAGACGATTATTTTGAAGAACGATTTTATTTATCGTACTGAATCGTCGGTTTTGATAGATCATCAGTCTAAATCTACCCGAATGTCGTTGACAATAATTGAGATCCACTTGATTGTCAGAAGATTTCGATTTCCCCTGCATGTTGCTTTTAAAGGGTGGCAAAGTGTGGTCATTGAAAGTGTGTAGATGGCATTATCACCCTCCTTCAATTGGTCCACATAACAAGACGAGGGTTAGAACTTTGAGGACTAGGATATACTCCCTCATCATTCAGTCACGCTCGTTTATTCTCACGCGCTATCTGTTCAACTCAAGGTTGCCAATGCCCTTAATCCATGAGGGTAAAATCTAGTCTGTTCACCTCAGCATATTTTTTCAAACACCAAAACACACTTTTTTATGTCTACATTTTTTGTTTATGCTTCAAGTACCTTAAAGTGTCATAAATTTTCGAGATTTATTGATCATTGCTTTCTTCATTTTTTGCAAGTCCATTACTTAGGATATGCTTTTTGTCAGGAAAAAAATTACAAGAGTTTTTTTGATTGTCCCAAGTCTGAGATTCATAACTGAATTTATCACGCAAGATGTTCATTATGTATGAAGAAGGCGCTTACGTTACTTCCTTCAACTTTATATCCTCATCCATTCCACCCTTTAGGTTTAATTGAGGTGATAACGAATAGCAGAGCGAGCGAAGGAAGAAGAGAGGGAAAAAGGAAAATAGAGTTTCCAGTAAATCATGCGAAAAGTAAAGTGTGATCTGGGCTGAACGTGAAACATTTTTCGGTCAGTTTTATCGACATTGCCTTATTTATTATCCTCTACATGGTCCAGCCAGTGTATGGAAGTTATAATTCGATCGATGAAGCAACCAACACGAGACTTACTTCCCCAAGTATATCCAATCTCTCTTCCGTGTTGTTAAATATATTTCCGTTAGCCCGATAAACACAATATAATGTAAATTTAATAGCAGAGTTAATCAAAAATTGACTTAAGTGTTTTTTTTTTCTTCTTGTTCAGGTCTGCTGTTTCGTGACCACAGAACTAATGAACAAAACACCATTAGTGACGGGCCTTATTTCGACGAACACGTGCCCAGGAATGTAACGACAGCCATTAGCCAGACTGCATTCCTTCACTGCAGAGTTCATCAGCGAGGTGACAAAGAGGTAAGTTTAGCTTGTGTTCCAGTTGACAAACTTTTAGCACTCGAATCTTCAGTGACTTAAATGAGAACAACCTTGTTCTTCGGATCAATGACACAGCTGATCGAGCGATGAATCAACCCCTTACCTCCTCTTACCCCCATCATGAACCTCAATTCCTTTGCTCTTCTATCGTTCAGGAATGTCGACTCTATTTCACGCCAGACATCGATGCTTCGACGTAACTATTCCGCTTTGATGAGATCCGATTCCACGATTCCCGTATGGCTAGCTTATCGTTTCCGATTCCACGATGCGAAATGCATTCCGATCACGCGATTCTAGAGCAAGCCAGACTTCCAAAGTGCCAATGACTTTTCTCACTATCACTGCCGCAGGCTATTGAACTTGCTTTTTTCGACCTCCACACCACACATTGCACGCTACATATAACCGCAGGATAGTTCTGTGAAACATCCAAATGAACAAGCGCATTCAAAGGGTAACATGAACTTGAAGTTTGTTCAACTTTGTATGTCTTACATGTGTGAAATACTTGCAAATTCAGCCTGAAATGGTTCAGAATAATTTAGTATTATAATTTCTGTAGTACATTTAGCTTTGACTCTTGTGTGTGCATTAGTATGGAGTACTTAGTGTCCCACTTTAATATATATATATATATATATAGACTGTCATGTTACATCATCAGAATGTTGTGCTGTCATGGCATTCATTGTCACATCAAAGGACACCAGAAACAGTTTTTATCTTACCGCTTTTTTATTCCATCAACTATCATTCACTTATACACTCTTGTCCTGGATTCCATTCACAAATCGAAGGCAATAAGAGAGCCTATGATCCCATCAAGTTCTATCTAGCTGTTTGGGTCAAGTTTGATACTCCTATAGACATCAATTAACTACTTCCCATCCTATAATCAATAGCTAACCATCGGATAGTTGAGCATTTACTAAGATACACTATATGAAATTCCAATAATAATGATATTAATATTCTATTGATTACTTCTTACACAAATTCGTGCAATCAATTATTTTATTTAATTCTACTATCATATTTTTAATAATAAAAGAGATAAAAAAATATCGCCAGTGTTTGTAGATAAATCAAATGCTCGAAATGGGCTATAAATTTTTTTCATGAATCGTATCTATTTCAAACCACAGCAAATAATAGGTTTAAAGTTCGAGAATCTCGTACACGCTATTATTTAATTTTTTTAATAAAAAAATCTGTTCTTTTTTCAGTTATAGATATTTTCTATTATCATCTTAAAAGAGATTATTCAATTAAATTAATTTAATATGATGAAAGAGAATGGATAAAAGCACTAAATATTGATAATGAAAAGAAAATGTGCGGAAAAATATAGATTCATATATTGAGTATAAAAATAAGCAGGCAAATAATTGACCTCTAATTAGTTAACTATGAGTTTTTTTTTAAATTTATCATTGATCAATTATTAGTTTATAATGAGTGTATTATTAGTTGACATCTAGATCATTGTTGGAATATTTTCAGGTAGTCCTAGTTCCGTGAACTACCCTAGAACGGCCTTAAAATATTCCAACAATGATCTCAATGCCAACCTATAACAAACTTATCGTAAATCAATAGTTGATCAATCATAGGTCTTAATAAATTTATGGGCAACTCATTACTGATCAATACTCAGCCTGTTTATTTTCATTTAGATAATGAGAAACAGAAGGAAATAAATGACTGGAATTGGTGTTAATTAAAAAATGAAACATTAGGATTGCTGTTGAAAAACTAACGTTAAAATAAAATGAAATAATTTATTAAATAATTTCCTTTCTAATGGTAACTGGATTCTTTCTCAATTGAACAATTTAATTATTCTCAACATCGTCACCCAACTTGGTAAAAAGCAAAAATTTTCTAGCAACTTTTCCATTTACTAAATTACACTGTCATGTAACGAGACAAACAAACAGGAAATTTTCCAGGAAATAACCGAGTTTTTTTTGGTTCAAAAATACTCAGAACCACTTGAGGATGTGTTATAGAATAAGTAATTCAATAAAGACAAAAACAGTATTCAGTTGAATAGACTTTACATCGAGTTTTTTGAAAACGAGGCCGCCGCCAGAGCTGGACGTGCGGTTTTGGGTTCAGGTATAGCTGATAGAATATGCATACAGCTTGGTTGAAGAGAATTAAAGTGGCTCAAAGGGAAGCTAGTGGATTCAAGCAACGTCAGTACTTTTCAACTGCATCGTAAACTTGAATATTTCTTAGCTTTTGAACCTCTACTTAATGTGCTGTATATTTTCATTATAAGAAGAGCGCATGACTGCCAATAAAGATAACGAAAAACAAAACAAATCAAATACCGAGCTTTATCGTTGATTACTTTACGTGAGGATAATTTTGTGTGATAAGATATATATATATATATATATATATATATATATATATATATATATATATATATATATTTATTTATAGATTTTAGAGATATTTTTGGTATAGTGGAGCACAGAACGCGTTGGTTACAATTACGATAATTTTTTCATCTTTGCTTGAGAAATATACACTTTTTATTGCACTAGTCTAAGTAAGGGTCAAAAAATCATCTACTCTTCGACTTTGGACCTTTATAACTCCCATACAGATCATCTAATAATGATTGTGAGGAGCTATTTGAAAACTTCAGAATCTTAGCTAAAGATACATATCCATGAAAATTGTTTAAAAAATTTATTTCACCCTTAAAATCGCCAAAATAGTTGGCAAACTCTCAAAAAAATGAAATTTATTTTATATTTTAGCGATTTTAAGGGTGAAAGAAAATTTTTAAATATTTTTCATGAATATGGATATTTAGCCTGGATTATTAGGTTTCTAAAATGTCTCTAAAAACGATTATTAAACCGTTCGTTCATGAGTTATAAGGGTTTAAAGCTAAGGGGATGATGATACTTAATGTGTATACAGTTTTACCCCATTCTGCGGGTGTTGGAATGAATTTTCCTAAGCTGTGCCCCGATTCCGCATATCTACCCATCAAGACAAAGAGAATGAGCCCTCAATCATCAAAATCGGAGTACTTTTATTTTTTGGCCTAAAAAAATGGAAAGGGGTACCACTTGCCATTTTTTGGGGTTGAAAAATCAAAGTTGTCCGATTTTCGAGTTCGACCACTCATTCTCTTCGTCTCAATGCCTAGATATGCGGAATCAGGTTAAACATTAAAAAAATTAATTATTTCACTCCTAAAATGGGGTAAAACGGGAATTTGCTTCAATTTCAGTATAAATTGGGCTCTAATTATGATTTTGGGGAACCTTGAAGAATGAAATTTGTTTATGCGGGATATAAAATTCAAATTGAAAAAATGTCCCATCCATGCTTTGTATACTTTTCATATAAAATTCTCGATAAATGATGGAACGTAGGGGCAATTTTTTCCGATACGCCAGAATCATCACTTACTTAATAAAACAAGCTTTAAAACACTCATTGCAATTTTTATTCATCAATTTTTTAATTTACTAATGCATTAAAAATTCACTTCGTCCCTTCTTCTCTTGTTCCAATGAATAATAATCAAAAAATTTATCATATTCGTTTTCTCAACGGGTTATTTAGGTGCCATCAAAGAAATTATTCATAAAAGTATTTCCAACTCAAAAATATTCCAACCTGATCAAACAACTCCTTGTAAAATTGAAAAATTACAAGAAAAGACAAAAATTTATTCATTCTACTCTTTCAAATAAGTCAGACCATTTCATGACGCGAAACAAAAAATATTCCATCTATCGAACTGATTATACTTAGAATACGATTTATATTCGATAGATCATCGCTCACGAATTCCGAATACCAATCCACATTCTTTTTCTGAGTTTGATTGGATATTCTATGAGAGTCTTCACGCGAGATGGTATCTTGGTAAACATGTAACAGTCTTTCTCTACAAAATTCCTATTGCTGTCTCTGTCTTTTTCATTTATCCAGAATGTTATACTGCATGGGGTCAATGTTGAGAACGGCTTTTCAAACGACAGTATTCTAAAGCCGAGACGTCGCCGCATATTGACAATTATAACCAAATAGCCATTACGCGCTAATAATCTATACATGTCCCTATTTCGCATCTACAATCGGTCGATTGTGCTTGTGGGATTCCCTCGAATGGCCGATTAATGTCGTCAAAACGATTGATTTCCGCTATTAGTTAAAGGCGCCTGTAGATCCCAAAGCAATTGCACAATACCGCAAATTGTCGATGTTCTATTTGTGTTGGTGGTCATGTTGATTAATTCTTTTTTCTTCTGTCATTTTACTATTTATTCCCCTATGAATATTCATCTTCACGACATTTATTTCCTTGCTTTTTTAAGCTTACATTAATATTGTGATATATTTTTATTGGGATAGCGATGCAACAATAAATAGCGAGAAGGATTCGGGAGATGTGCCACAGTTAACTTTAAGCACCGGAATTTCCGAGGTCATGGGTCAATAACCTTTGAATACTAATTAATCCTAAATTCAAGCATTATGCCAGATATCGATTCCTTGATTGCTGAATCTTCCAAAGTCATCATGGAATATTTCACAATAAATTAATATTACATGGAAAGAATATACTTTTAGATTTGACATGAATTGATAGACACTTGGAAATTGGACTTTGATGATTGAAATATTGATTAGTATTTATCCTTTTTGACATAGTTTGTCGAAAAAATTGTTTTTGTGAGTTTATTAACTATTTGGCAGTGAAAAACATAGATGAAATGTGTGTGTGTGTGTGTGTGATTTTATTGATATTTGTACTTCTATATTTTTGCAATGTTATTTTCCAATTGAAAACAATTTTTAATTTCTTTTAGTTCCGAGTTTTTATTTCTGAATGGACCTTAAATTACAAGAAATTCTGATAGAATTGTTTCTTCACTTGAAAAGGAATGTATATGATGTTTTTTTTTATAATCTGAATTCGAGGTATTGCTTGTGAC